AAAAAAAAAAAAAAAAAACCTGAAAAGAAATAAAGAATAGCAGGGCCTCAGAAGATTTCTCTTTCCTGCTCCAGGATCTTGTGGAATTATGTAATTCTTTTCATAGCTGCTTCCTAAGGATATACAGCTTTAAGGGGAAGCATCACTATTTTAGACAGTACACAATGACATTTCAGAAATGGAAAATTTTATTCTTTTTATTAATATATTGTTAATGAGGGTTTTATGATTTTAATCTTAATTTATGATGGTTTATTATTGTGAGACATGTGGGGTTTTGTAAAGTGGACAGCATACAAGCAGTGTAACACACAAACACACCAAGAGACATACATAAAATTGTACAGAAACAAAAACATAGAAACATTTATCATCCTGGGCTATCATCTTGAATCATCCAACATCCATTGATAATAGGAGCTTTAGAATAGCTTCACTCCTAGAGAGAATGCTCCATCCTACAAAAGCTACTGATTTTTACTGTATTTATACAATCAACAGTGCTAAACTAAATGTGAGAACATAGTTCTTCAAACCATGGTACAGCATTTAAAATGATCTAATACTGTAAATCGATATTTTCCATTTTAGCCCATGAAACAAAAAAAAGTTAAAACATAAAACCCAAGAATTAGTTCAGTAAATCAGGTATTTTTCCCACATTTATCAGGCCATTAAGTTCATCACATGAACAACAATGACAGAATTTCTCTTTCTATTAATCTAATCTAATCCAATCTGTGCATGGACATACACACATACAAATACACAGAATGTAGTGTGAGGAAACTGCAGGGTGAAGGGGGCAAATGAATGTTATGCCCCCCAACCTCTCAAATCTTGGTATAACCAATAAAAAAAAAGAAGACATGATGTTTAGGTGATTGTTGTCTTCTTGAATGAGGCACCAACTTTGGATGGAAATATGTACTTAGCAGCATTATTTAATCTGTTTGAAATGCATACATCTGATGTATGCGTTTGGCTTTGACCAAATAACAAGAAACAAAGAACTGAATAGCATAACACACACCCTAAACAAACCCAGAAAAATAATCCACAATATTTGTTTCCTGTATCCATTTTATATCACCACTGGGGAACAGGCAAGTATCTATTTTAAGAACTCAAGATGTGAGAAAATGACAATGGCTAGAAAGGGCACATTAAAAATGCAGATGTTTCAAGAAAGCTTTGGTTATACAAATACTCTGTTTCTTTCACAGAATTTAATGAGAAATGAAGACATTGTTCCATTTATTCAACGGACATCTTTCCCTTGCTTTTTCCATCATTTTCATTAAGCACAAACATTCCACTAGGAAGGGAAAGGTAGACTGTTGTGCTCTGTCCTAATAATATGAAAGACATCTGCCTTAAGATATTCTAGGTCTTACATCTGGAGAACTGTTGCTACTTCACAAATTAGAATTTCACTGGGGAAACTTCCTCTTGCTTGTGGTTTTGAAGTACTGGAAAACATGACCCACTAAATCAGCATTAAATATAAAAACAAGTTAATATTTATTAATGCTCTTGTTTTTGGTGCATGACAACATACACTCATTGATATGTTTAAATGGTATTATCTTTATTTGGGAGCATCATCCATTGAACTGTAAATTATCCTACAGTATACAGTATTAGCCAAACATATAATGTTAAGATGCTAAACATTTTAGCTGCCTTCCCAAAGCATCTTTGACTTCCTTGTTTCTTAGACCATAGATTAAAGGGTTTAACATTGGTATAACAATGGTATAGAAGACAGACACAACTTTGCCTTGATTAGGAGAAGACATGGCTCCAGGTTGGCCATACATAAAGAAAGCTGTTCCAAAAAATAGGCTTACAGCCATGACATGGGAAGTACAGGTTGAAAAAGCTTTGCATTTCCCTTCTAGAGAAGGTATATGAAGGACTGCAGCCACAATGAAACTGTATGATAATAGGACAATTATAGATGTTATCAACACAATAGACCCACAAATGACTAGGAGCACAATTTCATTTATAAAAGTATCTGAGCAAGATGCCTTCATGACAGCTGGGACATCACAGAAGAACTGGTTGACCTCCCCTGGTTTACAATATGATAAACTGAAAGTGAGTCCAGTCTGTGTGCCAGAATTGAGGAAACCAAAGCAATATGAAAGTGACACCAAAAATAAGCAGGTTTTCTTTGACATCGTAGCATGGTAAAGCAATGGGTTGCAGATTGCAATAAATCGATCATATGCCATGCCAGCAAGGAAAAAAGCTTCTGTTGTCCCAAGAAGAGAATAGAAGAACATCTGGACTGCACATCCATTGTAGGAAATTATCTTATTCCCCATAGCTAAACCCAATATGGCTTTCGGGGTAATAACAGATGAGTAGCATATATCAGCAAAAGACAAATTTTTCAAGAAGAAGTACATAGGTGTGTGAAGATGGGAATCAGCAGTTATGACTACAATCATACCAATATTCCCTACCAGACTGATGATGTACATCAGTGAGAAAAGACTTAGGAGAACTATCTGCATCTGTGGTTTGACCTCAAATCCCAGCAAAATGAATTCAGTCATTTCTGTTTTGTTTTCCATGACTCACTTATCTCAAGATGGAAATTTAGGAAGAAGGTTGTTTGCGTGCAGACTGTACACAGGTATGCTTATGTAGATTTTCCCTGAACTGATACATATCAGAGGCAGTCCAGAGGTGTTACTTTTATTTAGCAAGGCATAGAATGTGTCAGTATATATTGCCACACACATCTGTTGTTCCTTAAACAGAAGGAGAAAAGTCAGTGTAAATTAAAATTAGAAAATCATCAAGAAGAATAGATAGATAAATGATAGATAGATAGAGATAGAGATAGAGATAGAGATAGAGATAGAGATAGAGATAGAGATAG